GCAAGAGTGTGTCCCTGAGGGGGTGAAACCACAAGGGAGAGAGGGTGCAGCCAAAGGCCCTCTTACAATAAGGAATGGCTAATGAATTTAAAATTAAAGTTCAACTGGAAAAAACCACAACAAGAGGTAACAAGGATTTTGTAGCTTATTTCTAAAGACTATTGTCCTCCTTGGGCACACAGAGAGGATTGTTCCCTGCTGCAAGAGTGTGTCCCTGAGGGGGTGAAACCACAAGGGAGAGAGGGTGCAGCCAAAGGCCCTCTTACAATAAGGAATGGCTAATGAATTTAAAATTAAAGTTCAACTGGAAAAAACCACAACAAGAGGTAACAAGGATTTTGTAGCTTATTTCTAAAGACTATTGTCCTCCTTGGGCACACAGAGAGGATTGTTCCCTGCTTCCAGAGCAGAGTCTTCTTCAGTACTTTTGAAAACTTTCCTGGTTGTGGTGTTTCAGAGATTAAAAATATGAAAAGGAAGTCGATGTGTCAGGCACTCTCAGCTTAACATGGGGAAGAAGAGGCAGCTCCCAATTAAATGGAAGCCAAATACCCCCTAATATTTTGTTTCAGCTACTTTTCTTTTGCCATGGCACTTCACTGGGAAAAAACCCACAGTCTGTGGTGTGTCCTGTAGGGATTCCACTGACTTCACACACAGAGCAGTATCAAAATCCTGCACTTGTTGCTCACCTTGTATGGTGGCTGCGGATGGACCAGAATGCCACCTTCTGTGCGCTGAAGCGACTGCTTCACCTGTTCAAGTTTGATGGCAAGGTGAGCTTCAAAATACCTGCGCAGGGCCATGCACGTGTGCTTCCCAGTTTGGCGACTGGCAAAGATCTCATCATCACTTAGCAGGGCTCCTTGGTCTTCCAGGTTTAAGATCTCCAAGGTGCTGATCTACACAAAACAAGTCAAGAGAAGCATCTTTTCACTACGCCCATTCTTGAGGAGTAAGAGACCTACAACCACCAGCCGCATTTGTATGAAAACTGATGCTATAGAGCTAACCTCATTAGGATGGAGATCAAACTGTAGAGGTGTTCTTTTTTAGCTATTAAATGGAAGCCTCTTTTTGCAAAGATAGCAATATGATTGGGTGAATGGCAGGATTCTCCAGGAAGAGCAATTCCCGCTCCCCTGATATGCATTAAACCAAAGGCAAATCCAAAAGCCACATCATGGCAGACATGGAGGAGGTGTTTCTACAGCAGTCATGTGAGAATGAGAACACACACTGAGGGAACAGTATCTGTCATGAGGTGAAAGGTCTAAGGATTAAAACAAAGTTGCAATCACGCACTTCCCAACCAAAGAGCAGCACTAGCAAGTTGTTTGGGAAGCATCACCCAGGCCTCACCCTTAAAGATGATAATCACAGGCTCTCTGAATATGAAGTAAAAATGCTTCCAACACGGGGAGGGAGCCTCATGTCCACCACACAGAATCCCCAAGCCCCACTTCTACCCATTCCAACAGGAGGGAGGACCGGAGGCAGGGGAGCACTTGACAGCTATAAATGTAACAGGTCTAAAATTTGGTATTAAGCCATGTCTCGGAACATAAAAGGAGAGTGCAATTGTTACCAAGTTCACCAGGCGACGGAGGCCATCATGCCTGTCGAAGAGCTCCAGGACAGCACGGAAGGAGAAGCAAATAGAGAAGAACATGGTGGCATGGCAGCAGCCCGAGGCATGGGAGCACTCCATCAACCACAAGGTATAGTTCACAACATCTGACAGCACATTATGGGGATGCATGCACACCTACAAAGTAAAAAATAGAATGACCACCCTCCCGTCTTTGTCTCATTCTGAGGACAGGCATGGTGAGTGTGTGCTTACACTCAGAGCAGTCACCATGGGACACGTAAGAAGTGAAATAATTACTAATACAATTGCTTTTATCCGGAGCACCAATTAACACAACCCCTGAATCCCAGAGTTAAGGACGTATCCTGAAAACATGTGTGGTTCAAAAGACTTTGCCACATTTAGCTCAGAGTGGCTAACTGCACCATAGTTTCACTTCTCTGGGTAGGAAGTGGGACTTTAAGAAGCTATTTTATTACCCTGTAATATACGATATGGTTTTTTAAAAATCCGAAAGCCAACTAGCTCTGCTAAGGTCAGACAATATGGCCTCGTTTTGGATTATTATTTATATTTACCAAGCACAGAAACAGTTAGGCAGCTAAGATACACTGAAGTGTTCTTTGACCTGCAGAGTTTACATCTCAATATAAATCAGGAGCTTCAGAAAAGTGGAGCATGGGTCACTGGAAAAGATTGCCAGCCAGATTCTCCTTATTAGGGGGTCAGGCATGTAAAGAGACAAAGAGGATTGATTTTAAGGGCTAATAACTACATATGCTCTAGTTAGATCAAGTTAGCTAGCCAGTTTTCTGATCCTGCTCTGTGTTTTCTGTAACCATTATCCTTTGCTCCTTGCCAAGACAACTGGAGGAACCGTCTAGCACAGAGGGGAGTAATGTGTTAGCTACTAGTTATCCAGAGATTTTGGGTAGCCACCACCACTTTTGGATAATGGTGTTTGCTGTACTATACTAGCAGAAATCTCTCTGCAGCTCGAGGATAACTGCTCATCATACAGGATAACCGCAAAACTGTACAATACTTGGTTACTGGAGATGGTATTGAACAGAATAGAAACAAATAGCAATTCAGGAAGGGCCAGACACTAAGGAATTTAATAGGCAGAAATGTAGTTTCTTATATTAGCAACTAAACTAGCAGTTACTGTCCTGAATTAAAAAAGGAAACTAAGGAATTGAGATGATACAGCTAAGAACCTGTCTAATGGGTCTCAGATGGGAGGGAACCACACGCAGTCTATGGTCACTTTGAAAGCATGGGACTAAATGCAGGATACCGCCAAAACCTGTCTAATGGGTCTCAGATGGGAGACAGCACTGCAGATTAAGCACCTTAATTCTTGTCCCATCTTCAGTGGTCATGGAGAACAGCTGATTACTGTCCTCTTTATAAAAGCCTTAATGCATTTGAAGATTGTTATCAAGTACACTTTTCTCTCATGATTAAAACATGCCTTCTTAAAATCTTTCCTCACAGGTCTGGGTTTCTAAAGCTTTTATGACTTTTGGCGCTCTCCTCTGAATTTGCTCCAATTTATCTACATCTTCGCTAACGTGATAATTCACCTGTGTAATCCAAAGTAATCCACCTGAGGCCTCACCAGTTCCAAGCAGAGAGGCATAATTACTTCCACTGTCTTACTTTCAACATTCCTGTTAATATAGGCCACAATATTACCTTTGTTTGCATCTGCATCATATTGCTAACTGGTATTTCTTATCCACTATAGCACTCAGATACTTTTCAGCAGTACTACATAGAATACAAACGATTTGTAGCTGTGGATTTGATTTTTTCCCTTCCTAAGCACAGTACTTCACAGTTGTCTTTACTGAACTCTTTCTTGTTGATTTTAGACCAATCTTCCAATTGGTCACATTTTGAATTCTAATCCCATCCTCCAGAATGTATGCAACCCCTTCCAGCTTGTGTTACAATGTAATGAACACGCTCTCCATTCTGTTATCCAAGTCTTGAATGAATATATTGACTAGTAATAGACCTAGGACTAATCCCTGTGGAATCCCACTAGGCGCTCTCCCAGATTAACAGTGAACCATTGCGGCAGCTGAATTATATACGATAGTCTATAAAACGCTACTAGACGAGTTTTTTAAGTTAACAAAATAACAGTGAACCATTGCGGCAGGTGAATTATATACGATAACTTAAAAAACTCGTCTAGTAGCGTTTTATAGACTAACAAAACATATAGATGGTATCATGAGCTTTCAAGGGCACAGCCCAAAGCTCATGATACCATCTATATGTTTTGTTAGTCTGTATAAGATAAACAAAAAAAACAACAAATAGTCTGGTAGCACTTTAAAGACTAACGCCTTGTGAAGTTTCACTACTTGTTTGGGAGCCTCTCTCTGAACCGTATAAATCGAGCAGCCACCCCACCTTGGATCTTAGTGGAAAAGCAATCCCAGTAAATAAATAGTCATGAATCTTAAAGGCCAGAAGCGATCAGGATGATCATATGGCCTCCTACAGAACACAGATTACAGATTTGGGGAGGGGGCGGAGAGAAATCAGTTAGTTTTTCTGTTTATAAGTAGAGCAGTTTCCCTAAAAGACAGAATTAATTCCTCACTATACTCCTTGGGATGAGTTTCACACCTCCATGCTTAACACAAACACCTGGTTAGTGGCACTGGACATATTCCTTCACTTCACTCCTTCTCTGTACAGGCCATGGCCTTGGAACAGTAGCTGGCTCTTCAACCCACACCTTAAAAACTTTTCATTCAATGTTTAAAACAACTATGACACAGAGCTTTGACAGGTGCAAATCACTACAACCTTAGTGATCATTTCTTACCCTCTCCATGGCGTCCTGGTTGTAAGACAGATAATATAAGCACATGGACACCCCTGTAGCTGCCATGGAAGGACGAGGAATCTCTAGCAGCTTCTGCACTCCTCCATGAGCAACAAACTCCGTAGCAAATTTGTTGTGGAGCAGCAACGATGCCAAATGCTAAGAAAAGAAAGCAAGTTAGTGTGGGATTCCTCAAACTGTTCTCAGTGCTCAGCAATAATAAAAGAAAGACCCGCTCCTGATACTCGTGCCGTGAGGTAGCAGAGAAATATGGTTCCCTAATTCCTGTTCTCCCCATCGTGATAGGCACCAGCAGAATGTAAGATGTAACTTATGTCAACACCTTTACAATTACCTCATATGGTTTTATGTCAATAATATAAACAGACCGGGATATTGGTCACAAACCCATTAAAGTACAAGTTCGTGCAGGTGAGGTACATACTGCACTTTGGCATCCACTGGAGATCCAAGTGAAAACTTTATGGATAGAACTCTGCATACATACAAAATTTGTATTGCATCCATATCTGCAAAAATGAGCCGTGGATCGTCGTGGATAAAAAACATATCCGCAAATTTGCAGGGTTCTAAATACAAAATGTCTATCCATATCTGCAAAAATCCACGGATGCAGATAAATAAAGCCCTGCAAATCCACTTTATGATAGACAATACAAAAGTGAAAAAAAATAGACAATTGTTTCTCCCCTTAACTTCACATTTCCTTGCTTTTAAGGTTTTGTTGATGCAACCTTACCTGCCATCAAAAGTAGTTCTTGTCTGTTAATTACTTAGCTGTGGTGGAAGAGGAGTATTTAAAAATACAGCATTGGTGCAGGACTTCCTTGCCTACCTTCTAGATTAGCGTCCATAGCCTCAGTTAATAAAGCTGGGTAGAAATTTGAAACCCTGGTCTCCTTTCCCAGCTCAGGCAAACTTTTCCATAGGCTACAGTAGTATTTGTAAGACTCACTCCCGTGGTTTTTTTGCCCTCAAAAGTGAGCAGAAGTATTCATGCCAGGGCAAGTGTGTCATCAAATTCAGTGAGTTTAGTGTAGCGTACAAATTTTCCACTTACGGTAACTCCTCACTTAACATCCTCCTGGTTAACATTGTTACATCCCTGCTCCATTAGAGAACATTCTCGTTTAAAGTTGTGCAAAGCTCACTTATAACATCGTTTGGCCAGCTGCTTTCTCCAAGGCTGGCAGGATTCTACAGAAGAGCAGAACATCCTTATGGGGGCTTGTAACGGGGCCAGCAGCCCTCCCATCATTTCCCCCATCATCAGCACCTCTAGCACCTCCTGCCTGTTGGCAGCCTCTGAGGATCAGTGCCTCCCCAATCGTCCCATCTGCCACAATCAGCTGCTTTGTGGCATTCGGAAGGCTGGGGAGAAGAGCGAAAGTGTTGTGTGCTCAGAGGAAGGAGTGGAGTGGGGGTGGGAAGAGGCAGGAGAAGGCTGGTCTTCGGGGGAAGGTCTGGAGTGGGGGCAGAAGTGGGTATTGAGCAACTCCCACCACACCCTTGGCAAAGTCAGCGCCTGTGTTTGTACAATACTGGAGTCGTAAAGGGTGAAGATGCTGCTACTCAAGACACTTTCTAACCTAACATGGCATCTTCAACTTCCTTACCCACTATCTGCAGTGGACTGTTCCTGAAAGGCATAAGGCGGAAGCACCTCCACCTCCTACTAATGTATGTTTGTAAACGCATATCATATGCACGCTACCCCCCAGTGATTCACCATCGCTTTACTGCTCAGCCGCCGCTGTCCTCCCTGCTCAGGAATATGTGCTGTCAAACACTTGCAGCACCTCCACTTAAGGCCACCAGGCACTTGCAAAGCAGTTGTGGGGGTGCACAGCTATGGCATCACCTTGCCGTCTTGCATCTGAATACACAACATTTTAATTCACCCTCTCTTCAAGAGGTGCTACTACCTGTACAATATCAACATGACTGGTTAGGTGGCCAGTGCCAATACCGCAGCAGCTACATCATTTCCCAACTATCTCAAGAAAATAAGTGAGGAAGGAAGCTATTCCCCTCAACAAGCCATCAGTTTCAATGAATCAGGCCTCTATTGCAAGAGGATGCCTGAGCGGACATGCATTTCCCAAGAGGAGAAGACAACACCTGGATTTAAAGCAGCTAAAGTCACCTAAATTTGCTTCTAGGTGGTAATATTGCTGGAGACGTGCAGACAAAACAGCTGATTGTATACCATCCAAACTACCACATGCTCAAGGGATTTTCAAAGGAATACATTTTGGTCATTTGGGGATCTAATAAAAAACAGTTCCAGTTATCCATGCCTTTTCGGGATGACCAACTTTCTATGCCATCCCTACATGGAAGGAATATTGAGCCAAGGAAAATCTTGATTTCAAGATTTTATTGGTTATTGATAATGCACCAACTCATCCAAACAACCTGGACAAACTGTGCCAAAACGGCCACTTAACCCCACATCACTCATCCAACCCATGGACCCACGAATCATTGCTGCATTAAAGGCGTATTACTTACGCCATACTTTCAACCAGTTCATCAGAGGAAGGCAAGTCTGTAATTCAGCAATTTTAGTGCAACATCATCATTCTCAAATGCATCAATAACATCGGCAAGTCCTATGCTGAAGTTACTCAGACATCATGCATGAATGGTGTGCGGAGAAAGTTTATGGCCGGAATGTATCAATGACTTCAAAGGATTTAAGAGATACTGTCCTCACTATGAAGAAAGATATCCTCATCCTGGCCAGAGGAAAGCAGGCTTTGATGAGTTTTTTGCAACTAGAGAAGATGAGAGCAATGGAGGGCCAAGTAGTAAAAGAACAATCAACCCATCAAAATTTGACCACCAAATCTTTCTGAAGCTTTCCAAATGATTGAAGCTGGCTTGGAAATCCTTAGTGGTGAGGATCCAGACAGAGAACGTAGCCCAAAAGTGATTAGGGGAGCTGGTCATGTAATGACTTGTTATAAAGAAATGTCCAAGAAAAAAAAATCAAAACAAGAAACACTAAATGTCTTTTTTTGAGTTTGGAAAGTTCAGCAAGAGGAGCAGCCTCTTCTACCCTGACTTCACCTCAACCAAGCCTCACAATCATCACTGCTGAGTACAGTATTAAATGCCTTGTTTAAAACTGATACAATGCATGTGTATAATGTCTCTTGTCTGGCAAAAAAAAATCCTGGGAACCTAACCAACCAACCCCTCCTCTCCATTTACATGAATTCTTATGGGGAAATTGGATTTGCTTAACATTTACTTTACAACTGCATTTTTCAGGAAGATAACTACAATGTTAAGTGAAGAGTTACTACATAGCTACAGTTATAAAATGTGCTACACACAAACATCTGTTTTTAATCGGTTACCTGTGCAATTTGCATATGTGGAAAAACAACATGGAAAAAAGACAGTGTCCAGAGTGTTTTAGATTTCTTGGAAAGGGGATTCAAATAAAAATAAGACAATCCAGAAAAGATTGCCAAAAGGGTATGCTCGTTTTAAAAAACCTTAAAATTCTCTGTTGATTTTTCCATCAAATCACTATAAAAAATTTAAATACTCAAAAGTTTATATATTAGGTTCTGCCATCTAAATTCGAGTTTTTTTACAAAACAAAGGTTGAAAGGCTCTTGTTAAAACTGAATTTTGTTACACAACCTTAACAGTGGAACAACTACTTCTCCATCATAATACCTGCCACTTAAAGTAAAATAAGAAATTACTTAGGTCATCCTTAGTCCAATGATGTAACACCTGAGCTTCTAAGCAGGAAGTCGCTACCCTTCAGTGATGCCTTTCAGGTGATAGGCAACAGAGCAGCCCCGTAATGCTATCGGACAACAGCAGCAAACATCAGGGTTTCTGAGGAAAGAGGATTTTATGCTCCCTCTCCTCTGCAGAGAACACAGGCAAATAGTGGCAGGGAAGGACATGTACGCTCCACCCACAATGAAGTCTTTCTCCAAGTTAGGAGGACTACCCAGGGTGTCACTGGAGCAGCATAAGAGCGCGTTTGGGGATTTTGCCCCATGCAGATTCTTTTTTTCTGTATAGTGGTCATCTATCCTACTTTAGAGGCATACACCCCGTTAACTGCTCTAGCCCTTTAAGCAGTCCCCCTCTCCTCCCAAAACAGTCATTCTGGGTCTCTTCAGAGGGAACAGAATCTTAACATTCAAAGCACTTTCTAATGGCTGGAAAGAATCCCCATTTTACACAACTTAACCCAACTGTGCTTCCGAGATTTGTTCAAAGTCACACAGCCAATTAGAAGTAGTGCCATGATTAGAACATGCACTGGACATTTATTCACTTGTTCTTACCACTAGAAATCACTCCTCCTTTATTTCATATGATAAAGGGGAAATGGACTCTCCCACTTATTGTTTGCTTTGTCCTTGCACGGGGAGGGAGTAAGCATCTGATTCAAATTGATTCCATTTCCAATCTCAGGCCACCCTGGGACACAATGACTGAAGGAGATGGGCATTCACCTCAGAAGTCTTCAAGTCTGCATAAGAACTGGTTCAACGCACCACAGTTCAACACACAACTTCACTGCACTACGACAGTTATTTACCTTTAGCGCTTCGAAGGTGAGCAGCACATCATTGGTCCGTTTCAAGTCAATGTAAAACATCATCAGCTCTCTTGACCCAAGTTGCATGAAGATAGGGAGCAGCTGAAAACAGTGAGAAGTGAGAGACTTCATACCATTTAAAAGGCCTGTTTTATTTTTCACTCTTCCAAAACTCCCAATTTTCCTCTACTAGAGGCAAAGTTCTCTCTTATTTTTTTCTATCCAGGCCTGGAATACATTTTGTTATGTACACAGAGGTACACAGAGATGTGCACCACCAGTAGAAACAAAAAACAGCCAGAACAGGTTAGGCATTTTAGAACTCACTACTCAACAATTAAATTTAACCCTGAGAGAGAAATAAAAATTATGAAATGCACAGACCAGTCAAAAAACAAAAACACGAATAAAATGACAGAGAATACGTGTGCACTGCAGGAAGTACCAAGCAGTAACAACATCACAAGTCTGTGTTGTGAGACCAGAGTGAGACTCAGGCAGACTGTGTGAGAGAGACAGACGGTGCATGTGCTGGCTGCTGGGGAAGTTTCTGAGATGCCACGCGCTCTCTTAAGGCACTCTTAATGAAAGTTCTCATGCACCCGAGGCCCTGTCCTCTCCCCCACTTTGCGGAGATGGGCTATATGGGCAGAGGAGAGGAGACAGAGCAAGCATAGCAAGCTAGCTACTGGAGAAGTCTCAGAGACCTTGCATAGTCTCACTATCCAGAAGGCTTGTTCAGACTGCAGGGGCTGAAGAAGTCTCTGAGAGACCTTGCACAGTCTCACTATCCAGAAGGCTTGTTCAGACCGCAGGGGCTGGACTCCTGCTCCAGCTCCTCCCCCACCCCGCCAACCCTGGCTCTGGTTGGCAGCATGGGGAACCCAGACATCAGAACTCTCCCTCCCCCTCACCCTCCTCCACTCTTCTTAGCTAGGAGACTACAGACTCCCTTGTACCTTGGGCCTGTGAAGATCAGATGTCACTGGTTCCCATGCAGGTTGCCCTTTGCAGCTTCACTGATGCAGGAGTGAGGGAGCTAAGCAACGACCACGGAGCTGCAAAGAGCACCCTGCATGCCCCCAGGGCCAGCGACACCCAATCTTTGTAGGCACAAAATATGAGGAAGGCTGCGGTCTTGGCAGGGCAAAGCAGAGTCCCCCCCTTGCACTTCCAATTCACGAGCGAGACAGCAGGTCTGTGACTGCAGTGGGATGGTCTCCCTCATGGTCAAGGGCTCCTCCTACTTGGAGTCCTAGTCAGGGATCTCTGCTCCATCCTCTCAAGACCACATTTTCTCCCCCTATCTGGCGATGCCCAAAAATCAAGGGTCACCAGCACAGAAGCAGCAAAAGACATGCTCTGCAGCTCCGCTGTCTCGGATCTACTCACTTACACCTGTGACAGAAGGGCTGCAGAGAGCTCCTGCCACTGTCACAGGATTGGGACAGCTGATCCTTACAGCCATGTCGAGTGCCACTAATCTGTGCCAGCTGATTTCAGAGTTTCAACTTTCACCAACACTTAGTGAAGAGGAGCAAATCTTGCCAAGCCTACACCATACAAAAGCCTCATCAAAAGAACTGAAACTCAGTCCGTTTCCTCCCCCCATATGCTCACCTCTTGGTATTCTCCTAAAGGGGTCAGGTACTGCAGAATAAGTCTCTGCTCTATGGCAGGAGTCAAAGGGTAAAGAGTATAGTTGGTGCCAATCACCCACGGAGACATCTCTGACCAGCTGCTGTTGGATAACTCAACAAACATCCTCTCTGGCTCGGAAGAGGAGAAGCCCAGCTTCTGTTTGGCCTTCCGGAAGCTGTCTCTTTCATGCTGTTTCCCTGATTTGGTTTTCTTAAGTCCCATATCTTCAAGCTTTATGGCAGAGTTCACTCGACTGCTGGTCTTGTGGCCTGAATCAAGATGAAAGGAGATATCCATATCCCCAGCAACTTCCTCCTGCTCCCCATCTACTGCCATCTCCCCATAGTCCATATCCACAGCCTCTTCATCCAGAGGCAGCAGAGGTTCTGAAGGCAGTTTCCGAGGACTCGGGCGCTTGTTTTCCTGTTTCATGGTCATTTCGTTACCCTGTAGCTCCCGTAGCCGTCGAAGAACCAAAGCTACCTGTCATGCAAAGAAGCAAGTCAGAGTGCATCCACTACTTTATGTAGCAACCAAATAGTGCGTCTAGCCCACTCCAGAGATTGGCCTTTAAAAAAAGCTACCAAATTTGTAAGTCTTCTCATGCTATTTAGCATATGGTATCAAGCAAGCTGTTGGTCTGCATTTGAGCCTGAAAATCTGCTTCCAATATTTAAACCTAAGGAATTCTAATCAAGCAAAAGGGAAGGTACTTCAGCCATAATGGCTTCCTGTATGAAGAAGACCATATAATATGATGGGGGCTAAATTAGCTACAACTAATCAGGAAAGAGATCTTGGAGTCATCATGGATAGTTCTCTGAAGACGCCCATGCAGGGTGCAGCGGCAGTCAAAAAAGCCAACAGGATGTAAGGAATCATGAAGAAAGGGATAGAGAATATCTTATTGCCCTCATATAAATCCATGGTACGCCCACATCTGGAATACTGCGTACAGATGTGGTTTCATCTCAAAAAAGATATACTGGCATTAGAAAAGGTTCAGAGAAGGGCAACTAAAATGATTAGGGGTTTGGAATGGGTCCCATATGAGGAGAGATTAAAGAGACTGGGATTTCTCAGCTTGGAAAAGAAGAGACTAAGGGGGGATATGATAGAGGTATATAAAGTCATGAGTGGTGTGGAGAAAGTGAATAAGGAAAAGTTATTTATTTGTTCCCATAATATAAGAACTAGGGGCCACCAAATGAAACTAATGAGCAGCAGGTTTAAAACAAATAAAAGGAAGTTCTTCTTCACACAGCGCATAGTCAATCTGTGGAACTCCTTGCCTGAGGAGGTTGTGAAGGCTAGGACTATAACATGGTTTAAAAGAGAACTAGATAAATTCATGGAGGTTAAGTCTATCAATGGCTATTGGCCAGTCTGGGTAAGGAACGGTGTCCCCAGCCTCTGTCTGTCAGAGGGTGGAGATGGATGGCAGGAAGAGATCGCTTGATCATTACCTGTTTGATTCACTCCTTCTGGGACACCTGGCATTGGCCACTGTCGGCAGACAGGGTACTGGGCTGGATGGACCTTTGGTCTGACTCAGTTTGGCCATTCTTATGTTCTTAAGCTTGACTGAAGGTCTAACAAAACCCACAAGCCCCAGTTTCACCTCAATTGTGCAAGAATGAATTTTAATCCTGCTCATGCACTGATGTATTCTATTCGTATGGGAGCTAATTTCACCTGTCCCATATGGATCTACATTTATGCCACTTGCCTGCTGACACATTACATGAAGTGATAAAGAGACTTCATATTAAAAACATTGTTATTTCACGTGAAGTTGTTTCTTTGATGCTCTGCCTTGCATTTTACAGCCTGAGTCCTTTATGTAAGCTTTGGCATGTGACAGCTATGGACTCAGTGGAATATTCAAAAGTACTTAACGGAGGTAGGAGCACAGCTCCCACGGACAGCCAATGGTGCTTGTGTTCTTAGCTCCCATAGGAACTTCCGAAAATGCCACCCACAAAACAGGAAATTGGGTCACAAAACATACTATTAAAAAGATGCCTTTGGGGAGGAATGAAGCAAAAGGTGATTATTTCTACAGTTTTGCTAGCAGAGCTACTAAAAAGTTCATAAACATCAGAAGCACCAGGCAAATGAAAAAGGTTTTATAATTTCATGCTCTGCTTCCAAAAGAGAAAGCATCTCATGTGGACATTACCAGTTGGGAGTTCTCATCCCGGTAGTTGGCAGCAATATCTTGGTTTTCCATAGCACCTCCTAGCAATCCAGTTGCATACGTTCTCAATGGCTGATCCGCCTCTCGGGCCCACTTAAATAGATTTTCAACTATGCCTTCCTAAAGCAAAACAAAGAAACCATTCAGACACTAAGTCTTCCTCCTTCTTCCCCCAATCATCAACTGTATTAAGGCACAGATCTCCTTACTCCCCATTATTCATGTTGCACACCAACAATTTACATTACATTTCTCGGATCAAGATTTGGCTTATTGCCCAGAAATACCAGCACAATAGGTTAACCAGCTAACTGGCCTAATTCTCTTCTCAGTTACGCCAGTGTAAACCCAAAGCAATTCCACTGATCACAGAAGAATTACTTTGGATTTACAATAGTATAATGAAACAGGATCTGGCCAACCCTGCTTTGCTTCAACAAGAAATCTCACTATTCTTTATAGCCAGATTGTGAACCCTTTACTTACACAAGCAAACTCTTTGAAGCCAGCAGAATTATCCACGAAAGCAATCAGTCACCAATGAAAATAAAGGATGCCCAACATGGCCCTAAAACCCAAATGTTTTGGTGCAACTGAAACACGTGAAAGCATTCTGGTCATTTCACCACGAAAGAAAAGATTTTTTCTTTTAAGCAGGAATACCACCCTAATTTTGTTTGAACAAAATAGCTGATATATAAGAGCCAAGCTAGACAAAGAACTGAAAAGTAACAGTACAAGATCCTGCTTTTTTCTTGAAACAATCGTTAACACTGACCCCAAAGCAGACCACAAAATTTCAATATCACCTACCACTATGGGATTCTGATGCATAATTGGAATTCCCCTACCCCCAGCAACTACAATACAGAGTAATAATAATTAGGCATCTGCAAAATCATTAACTGCTCTCAAGATTTGTATAGAGCAGATTTTTAAAATGTTGTCTAATTTTTATTTTAGTGAATTATTTACAGACACATGCTCTCAAGTTTAGATCTTTAACATCTGCTTAACTAATGTTTTAAGACCATTTCAATGAATCTTTAAAAACCATGAAATGTGAAATACTTTGTCCACTAGAGGGCCATATTATTCCAAGAACAAACGAAATATCTAATAATGGCAAAAGTAACCACCACACAAACAATGACATACGCTATGTCTAGACTACACAGAATTTTTGAAAGAGGATATGCAAATTCT